CCAGTCTCTCCTTCTCTCTCCCTCCCTCTCTCCCAGGCTCCTCTTGCCCAATTCCCAGCCCAGGTCTTGGTGACTCTTGTCTGACCTTTTAAACATCTCCTGTGTGCCAACCTGGCCATCCCCAGGGGTAACAGAGAGTGGGGTGCAAGTGGGGCTGCTTTCCTGGGGAGTGAGCTGAGAGCCCCTGGACACGGCTGCCCGTCCCTTTTCTGCGCTTGTGACTTAGCTGTGACTTCTTTGAGGACAGTCACTTCCTTGGGGACAGTGCATCCTCGCAGCTCCGTGTGACCATCTGCGCGGAAGGCAGATGACTGGTGTGAGTGGGGGTGGGTCTGGGCAGGGGGAGGGCCGAGGAGCCAGCCCCGGGGGAGGCGTGTTCTTTGGCCAGCAGACCTGGCACTCGCTCTTGCCCTGTTAAGCAAGAGCTCTCCACACCTCAGCCCCGGCCTGTAAACCGCGGGCGGCTGGAGGTGTCTCCTGCGTCCTCCTGCAGGCCAAGTGGGCGCACTGGGACCACGGGGCTGGCCTCTGGTCCCTCCGGACCAGATGAAACAGAGCCTGGGCTGTAACAAGATCCAAGCGCCTGCACCCACATTAAAGTCAGAGCAGCCGGGCCAAGGACAGGAGCTGTTCAGGGCGGCCAGCAGCGGGCTGCAGGGAGGCCAGCCCCGCCCCCCCTCGCCCCCCAGTGCCTTCTCGGACACACAGGGACCCCGGCTCTGGCCAGGCGGACCCTGCACACTGGGGCCCTCCTTGGACCCTGTATCCTTCGGCCGCTGTGGGGCAGGCTGCAAACCCGGCCTGCGCACAGACGGAAGATGTGCCTGAGGGCAGCGAGCACCCGGCCACCCCTGCAGGCTGCCCGCCAGGGGCACGTGGCCGCCGCTTCTGCCCTCCGTCCCTCCAGCAAGCCCCGAAGCCGGCACTGCTCCCGGTGAAAGGGCGGCCCGAGGCCCCGGCCGAGCAGGGTGCAGAAAGGCCCCAGGAGCCGGAGTCCGGAGCCCACCTGTGGCAGCCCCACGACGTGGGGGCCCGTCCTGGCTGGGCACTGGAGACACCGCGCTGTGGAGGAGGCGGAGGGCACAGGGACAGAGGCGCTGCCCAGGCCAGCTCCAGCCAGAGACGGGCCGAGCCCAGAGAGCCCCGAGAGCAGCACCTGCGGCGGGCACCGGCCGTGGGCACAGCTCGGGTCCTGACACTGGCCCCACCTGGTGCCAGAGAAGCCTGCGCAGGGCAGGACCTGGGTGCGCCCAGGGTGGCGCTGGCCTCCTGGGCGAGGGTGGGGTGGTGGAAGGGGGGCCTGCCCTGGCGTGCCCTCCGGGGCGCATGCCGGGAAGCCCTGGGCCGCAGCTGCTGGCCTGGCCCAGAATAGCCTCCTTTCCGGGCAGGGCTGCCCCGGCCTCAGCCGGTGCCCCAAATAGGGCTGGGCCGGGCGGCCAGGGGTGGGGGCAGGGGCGGGCCCCAGCGGGGCGCAGGGCCGGTGGGGAGGGGAAGGTGCAGCCCAGCCCAGCGTGGGGGGGGGGGGCAGCCTCCTGTAATGAGCCCCTGGGGGCAGAGTAGCCAGCCGGGTCGGCCCGGGCTGGGGGCATGTGCTCTGCGCCCTCAAAGGCAGAGCGGTCAACTCGCCCTGCCCCAAACAGGGTGGCCAGGGCCCGGTGTCTCTGCTCCCCGTCCTTCCTCACCGGCCTCGGCTGCCCCTCCGTCTCCTCCACCGCCCTCTCCTCCAGCAGACCTGGCCCACTCTCCTCCTCGTCCCCACCACGTGCAGCCCCCCAACGGCCTGGGTCCTGAGGGCACTGGACCCCCGGGTGTGTGTCCTTGCACACGCCCTGCCTTCTCTGGGCCTGTTCCCTCCTCTGCAACGAGGCAGCTGGAGAGGGCACAAAGCCTCCACTCACCTCCCAGGGCCCCCTCTGGGGCCGAGACTCCACAGGGCCGGCCGGGGGTCGGGGTGAGCCCTGACAATCTGGCAGAGGGAGGAAGAGGAGGAAAAGCCCAGAGCCAGCGGCGGGCGGGCCCCAGAGAGCCGGAGTCAGGGCCACAGACCTGTATGTCGTTGTGCGGATTCCAGTCTGAGTCGTAGATGATGACCGTGTCCGCCGTGGCCAGGTTGATGCCCAGGCCACCCGCCCGGGTGGACAGCAGGAAGCAGAACTGCTGGGCCCCGGGGGCTGAGAAGAGACAGCGCAGCGGGCAAGGGTGAGGGGGCACGGTGGGCGGCCTACGGGCGGGAGGGGAGCCCTGGGGGAGCGCGGGACCTGTGACCGCAGCGGCCACCTGCGGTCCGAGAAGCCGGAGGCGCCCGGGGCCTGGGCTGGGGACAGCAGACCCGGCTGCGCCCCCGAGCCCCCAGCCCACTCTGAGCCCTCACCTCCGAGTAGGGAGCCAGCGCGGAAGAAGTCCACGCGGAAAGCACAGCCGGCCGAGGGTCAGCCTTGGCGCTCTCCGCCCCTCCCGAGCCCCCCACCCAGTGCGGTCAGCATGACCGGCGTGCTCAGGTGACCTCGCGCTCCAGCAGGGTCCCAGCTGTCACGCACACTGGTCTCAGGCCTTGGGGTGTCTTCGCCAAGCGCCCTGGGCTGACCCCAGGGTCCTCTAGAGCTCCACCTGGCCTCCGCCCACCCAGAGCTCCGACCATGCCCGCCCTTCCCCCAGAGATTCCAGGGCCATGGACGACCGGGAAGCTCCTGCCCACCTCATCTCTGCCCCGGTGGGCCCGTCCACTTCCTCCTGGCGGCGCGGTGCCAGGCTCAG